GGCAGACCTGAGGGGTCCTGAGTGCTGCAGGGCATTTAGGAGCCCCCTGGCCTGCACCCGGGAGCTTCTAGCAACACAGCCTTGGGACAACTAAAAATGCCTCAGCCACTGCCCAATGCCCCTGGGGACAAGACTGCCCCAGTCCTCACTGGGGCCAGAAGAAGGCAGCCTGGGCCTGGGGAGGACGCAGTGAGCCGGACAGCCTGGATGCCAGTCAGTTCAGCAGACGCCATTAGGGCAGGTGCCTGGCAGGTGCCTGCCAGGTGCCCGCATCAGTCCCCCTGCCTTAGGTGGTGGGAGAGGAGTGGAGAGGACAGGAGGGCAGAGCCCGGCCTGTGCAGGAAGCAGTGGCTTGGTCATGGGACCCCAGGGCCCGGCTGAAGGGCAGGACTCTTTCCCCAGGTGATAGGGAGCTACAGAAGGTATCTGGGTGGTGGTGAGGGTGGCCCTGGGCTGGGTTGGCAAGGCCCAAGTGGCTCAGGAGCAGGCGCTGTGGCGCGGTGGGTGGCGCACACTCACCCCTGCAGGGCGGGGAGCCGGAAGCGCTCCATGCAGAACTGGACGAAGGCCCTCAGGTCCATCTTGCTGATCCCCCCTACGGGGTTGAGGTCTGCGCTGGAGCAGTCGTACTTGGTGAGGTAGCCGAGGAGGCTGCAGGAGAGAGGGGGCGGGGAGGCAGGGACACACAGTCAGGCTGCAGATGCTACCAACTGGACATCAGAGGACTGGCTTCTTCCAGGAGCCTGGCGGGTTCTAGGCTCCTGGAGAAGGTGGCACAGCTGGGACAGACGGCCAAGGGGGCAGGGACTGCAGAGGCCTCGGAGGCACCGGGATGCCAGGACGTCCTCAGGCCTGGGAAGCAGATCTGGGAGTCGCCAGCACTGGCCTCTGCAGGCTGAGGCCGGAGGGACCTGGCCTCTGGGCTCCCCAGCCTTCTCTGTCAGCGTCTGTCACTGTCACAGCCTCTGACGTGCCACTCACCAGGACCTGGAGCCGTAGGCCTCTGCCCACCTTGCCCGTGGCCGCCTCTTGCCGCCTCCCCTCCACTCTGCCACCCCTGCTCAGCAGCGCCACCACCCAGCCTGGAGCGGTCACTGACGGCTGCAGGAGACACCTGCCTCCAGGTCTCGCAGCCCCACCTGCCATCACCTGTCTCCAGGCAGCGTCTTGTCCCCTCCCCACGTGTCACCCCTTGCTCCCCCCACCCTAGTGTGCTGCCAGTTCCTCCTCCTTCATGGGGAAGAGCCTCTCAGAGTGGAACCTCACACCCCTCAGTGCCCCTCTGTGCCCTCCCGTGGCCCTCTGTGGCAGTGGAGGCTGGTGGCTCCCAGCAGAGCCTGCCCCTCGCCTGGTCCCTGCTCTCCTGCCTCACGGCCCTGCTCCTGTCCA